TAATTACCTCACAAAAACATCTCTTGACCTCGATAAGTCAAGACAGATATTTCATGCCGATTTTTATTCATCAAACATTTCGTCGTAATATAATAACGCTTTTCCATTACCATAATGATGATCTTTCGAATATTTTAGAAAACATTATTTGTAATATCAAGAGGAAATCTTGTTTATTATCTTATGAATATTCTCGAAATTTTTCAAATCCAGTTTAAGCCTTCTCTTTTAAGCTTTAATGACTGTTAGTAATTCTCTATGTTTACGCACACTATGTCTTCGTGACATTTATAGCGCAAAAACAAGTTTATCCAATTTTAGAACAGCTACCAAGTTGTACAATCCTATGTACGTAGTCAACAAAATTAATTCTGCTCGATACGGTCTTTACTCACTAACAATCGGGGAGCACGTGAAGGGACTGGCGATTTTCGGTCCTACCTTTGCGGTTCGTTGAGCGACCGGCATGCACGGACAACGTGGTGGGAGCGCGATTGTAACTGTGTGGAAACGCGTGTGCGTCGTAATACACGTCCGATGAGGTACTGGAGTTCTGCGATACGTGAGAGACCCGGTGCCTCGAAGGAGCTCTGCGAAAGATCCCCACCAGACCGGTATGAGTGCCATTCGTTCAAAGGCGAAGTATCCATATTAGGTCAAACCTTATGGGTTTGTCGCGCAAAACTGCGAGAGTACCCTCGATATGACCCTGACACGTCGCGGAATCAGGTCGCCAATGAAGGCACGCTTCACGATTACGGAGTCCGGTTTGCCACCGTGACAAACGTTGATACCTGGCACATCATTTGTCGCATCATTAACGAACCTTGCACATCATCGCGAGTATGAAAATCTCATTTTTGCGGACGATACTCATGTTTGTCAAATACAATAGCTTATAAATTTGCCGTATAATGTGATGTCATTATTTGTTTCTGTAACAGAATTTACACGATCTCTCGAGAGATTTCTATAATAATATTATACTTTCATCAAATCAGGTTGAAATTCTTTTGCATAGGATTCATTATCAAATTTGATTATCGCTTATTTTATGTTTTTGCTGTTGGTTTTAATTAGCTCTAACGCCATCTACTTTTGATTAACGACAGCGAGAAAGCAAATAATCATTTGCGGGTACGAGTATCCGGAGAACGGAAACATTCTCTCATGTAACCGACGAGATGGAGCTGCATGAATCGCAATCTATAAGGACAATATAAATTGCAAGAGCATTTGCATTTTGCGTGGTCATGAAAGTATAATCTCTGCAATATTAAATCAACAATAATGCATGAACTTAAAAATTGCTTTAAAATTAAACTACATATCACAAAAGAAATTTTATTACGGTAATTGAAATTGCATAAATAATATTGTATCGAATGCAATTAATTAATGTGTAAATATTTTATAATTTTATAAAAATAATTAAACATTTTCTCATCTGATGTCTCTATTATCTCATGTTAAAATCAGCAGATGTTGATGTTTATTTCTCTTTAAAAACATAGAATAGTCAAAAAAACTGCTTGTAAAATGTTATCGCGCAAATTGCAAACCGCTCAGTTACAAGTCACGTATTGTCAGAAGGAAACGTGCATATATTCGCGGATTATCGTGTTACCCAGCTTCTCTTTGACACCTACACAAAGAAGCGGTAGCTTATTCCGGTTCACCTTGAGGACCGAAAGTAAATAGTAGACTTAGTCTACACGAAAGGGTACACCCTTTTGAAAAAGTGTTTCGCTGGCAAACACAAGTCTCACGTTACACTCATGAGTCGATTGTTATGTCTATCAAGATGCTTACAAGCTCGTTCCGAAAGAGTAAATATACGTTTTGAGACTCGATTGACTTAATCATTTAATTTGATTCGGCTTCTATTTCCCTGCAATAACTAGCGGCGATCATAAAATAGCGTCTGCGTAATTGTATTTAAAGTCTACTGCGTCGAAAAATCTCGGAAAAACGCCCACGCGGCAACACACCGTTTTTGTCAATAACGTGATGGCATCTTCTAATTGTGCGCGACGACTCGATGATAACATCGACGCACTTACGCGCGCTGCATTTGCATTTGCCAGATACGTCACAACGCGACATCATCTAACATCGAACGAGAATGGGCATTAGAATTTCGAATGTAGGTGTTTGGAGGTCTCGTCGGATTATCGTTGCCGTTGTATTTATTCGTGAAATATATTGCATGCCGAATGCAATATATCAATATAAGATCTTTTGTTTTGATATTTGATTTATAATTAAAATTATTTTCTGTAATAAGTTTATTAAATAAATCCAATTGTGTGTTTGAAAATAAAATAAATCTAATTTCTTCTAATAAGAAATTTTGTATACTAGTGCTGCGTATGAAGAGAAATTGTTACATAATTATAATAAATATAAATAATTTTATCGCGTTAGATTTTCACCAAAGAGAAACTGTCAGCAACTTTGTTGACTCTATTAAGGCTTTAAGATGAGAATTGCTCAAAGAACATAGTACTGTCATTGCATTTATGATGCAAATATCTTAGACGCGCGTGCTAGGCTTGCTAGGTAAATGTAGAACGCAAATGGATATTCACAAGGTATGTCAACATGAACTTTCATGGCTGATTCGCACAATTCGTTAGATTGATCGTACAAAGACAAACGAGTGAAACTAAGGAGGCGGCAAGTCGCAACCGCGACGACACACTTATCGTCGCGCAGCACATACGTTTCAATCTTCGTTATAGTTGTCGGCAGTTTTCACAACTACGACAGCTTGATATATCGCACCGTTGTTGCCAACGATGTTTTATGCGAATGTTGAGAAAAAGCATATTAAACTGCCAAACCTTTCACAGTTCATAAATGACAAATAATAAGCGGCACAGTCGACAAAGTAAATCATCTACAAGGAGCGATTGATAAGTATTTAAAACAATGCGTAAAACCTGACAAAAGCAGCAAGTAAAAATATAGTTTAAGCACGCAGCGGGAATCGTAATAAGTCATCACCGAAGTCCAGGAAGTCACCGACGCTACATCGGAAATTGTAGAAAATTATTGCGTCGTTTTGTAGCTACCGCGTTCACCCACACCCTGCCTGACGTCATGGCACTTCCGTGAAATTGTCACGTTATATAATGCAGCGCCATTGATATCGAGGCCACTGAATCCGGAGCGAGAAGATAAATTTTTCGATCTTATCATTTGACATCGTTTCGCTGTGGTACTGTCATTTCATCATCAGTCAGTAACAGAAATGTGTATTAATTCATGTCACACAGCAAAACACCAGATTGACTTCATAATTGTGCGCACGCGCAATGTTTCTACTAGAAACTACTTAAATCCAATAATTGCGAAAAAATTTCTTGCGGTGGAATTTCAAACATAAAACAATTTCAGTTTTTTTATGTGAATTCTTCGGTCATGCTCTAAATATTTGTACGTTTTATGAATTAAAGTACATAACAAAATGCATAACGTAGCAAAATGATGCGGTATAAAAAGAAGAGTAAAAATTTCGACAATATAAAATAAACATCAAAATAACTTTAAAATTCTCTTCTTCTGCTTAACATAATTCTTTTTAAAACGCGCGTTTGCGCGCAAATGTAAAGTAATCGAGTGTTTGCAAGTTGAATTTCACACGTAAGTAATGTGTGTTATATATGCTAGCATCATCAGTTAGTTTGTCACTTCTGTTCGTGGTAAACGAGCCGTAATTCGGTTCTTTTTATCGCTACAACGTTTCCTTCATCGACAATAGAAAAAAGCAATTCACATGCAAATCTCCAGTCGGCTGCGTAAAACGCTAGTGTTTCTATTATCAGCACGAAAAAGTATAATTTCATATCGCATATAAACAGCAGACAAAGATTTTGTGTATTTACATTACCAAAATTGTCGAATAAAGTTAGGAGAAACTTAAAATTTATAATTAATATTATTTTTAGGCATTTAAGTGTAAAAATTAATTATGTAAAAATTAAAATAGGTATACATATATATATATATATATATATATATATATATAAAAGTATGTGTACAAGAAACTGAACAGTGAAAAACATCATAATTGGAACTATGACAAATGTGATTTTTATCGAATTAAGAGGTTATTCTGAAGTTAAGTGATAGTTGAGACAATTACACCGTCTAATTGACAATTTCTTGATAGCCGCATCCGCGACTAATCAATAGCAGAGAGAATTAAGACGAAAGTACAATTGATTAAAAACATTAATCCGCTAAAATAGAAGAACTACATACACATAGTCTTTTTTATATATAAATGAAATATAAAAAACCTTTGCTTGCTCCATGCATTTGTGTTTAATCGGACATGTGACAATTTTTCGCATTTAATTTTGTAAGAGTAAATACTTAAATACTTTAAATGCGTTATTAAACTCGAATAAATTCACGCAAGTTTATATACGGTATATCCCGTTTAATTTATCGATTCATTTATCATTTGTTTCTGGGATGTTAAATTATTGATTGTCGAAAACAATGGCGTAGTAATAAGCTTAAAATTTCTTATGAGTTACGCCGGAAACAATAAAGAAAGACGTAAATTAATCATACGTCCGATATCTCGACCAATTCGTGGAAAATGAGGGAAAGCCGGTTTCTCTGACGTATTACGGACGACACTATAAACGGAATATAAATGTTTCACGTTGAAGTTACGGAAATGAGAGAAGACGGATAGAAAGTACGTTTTGTAAACATAAATATAACAATGTAAGTTTTTTAACAACAACGCAGCGAAATGTTATTATGTATAGACGCGATAATAAAATGAACATATGTAACTCGGAGTGTTTACAACTTGTGTTCGTTGTGCAATAATAAGACGCATAAATAGATTGACATATACAATGAATGGAGCTTATAAATATCTTATAAACAAAAGTGACCGGAGATTTGCAGATATAAAACAAACAACGATGTAAAAGATATATAACATGCGCACAATATTTCAACAATTAACTCACCTTCGGCTTGATGACATCATAATGTCCTTCCGGCACTCTCGAATCGTAAACGCTGCTCGGTACCGAGTTTTGCCTTCTGCAACAACAAAATATATAAATGTGTTGAAGAAATGATTCTGATTAAAACATTAAGTAGTGTACAAAACAAATTCAATAAGAAAACTCACACAAGTTACATAGAAGATTTGTCATAATGCGATGACAGATTAAAAAAGGTTTGAAAGTTCATAGTGTCAAGATAGAAAGAAAAGCCGGAAAAGAAAGCCATTATAAACACCGCTGATGTATTGAGTGACGCAATGCCTGTGACAGCTGCGCCATAAATTTTCACTTATGCATCATATTGCGGGATATTTTATCCGGAACTTTTACACGATGCGGCATGAGAAACTTACGTGACTGGATCCGATCCATTGATCGTAGGCTTCGGCGACTGGATTCCAGACCGGACAGGTGTACCCGTGTGAACGGGCGAAGGTCCTTTGCTTCCCAAAGGCTGTTTTATCCTGGAAACAAACGCAAACGGCAACTCAAGTTTCGTCGTACACGCGATCGTAAATTTTCTTTCTTAAATGTGAAATTTGCGGCTTGAAGTGTTACGATCGCGTTTCTGACACTTATTAATCTCCCGTTCATGTTGACACATTTCGTTCCGGTAATTTTACTGTCAAGCTTGCATAAATTCAGCTAGTAAATCGCACACGCAATAAGTGCGTAAGTAACTGTTACGTGTAAAACTACGCGAATCGGAGTAAAGAAATATGTAATAATAATGAAAGTATGAATGCAAAAATTAATTTTTTTCAAGAAGAATGCAAAACTTTTGAGTCGTAATTTTTACACAAAATGCATGAAATATAAACAAGAATTTTCCGTCTAAAACTTGAAAAATAACAGACAACTCTTGATATTTATCTAATAAATTTTGTTTTGAAACTTTTGAATTGATCGAGATAAAAACAAAAATTTATTTTTTATTATTTATAAATACTATTACATAAATCTTATTAAATAATTCGCTATATTCTGCTAGAGCCTCTATTCTTTTTTATTCCTGTAGAGAATGAGAACTAGCCATGACCGCAATTTTTGCACATCAAACATAGAGTTTAAGAAATTGCGAAAGCTCTCCAACTTTAGCTATTATTCAAGCACAACGTGATTTATCGGGATTCGTTGTCACCCTTCCGAGTTTCAATACTCGGAGAGTTGCGGATTATTTCGACTTCTTCGAACTTATAAAGCTTCGTGCCTTCTGGCGACATTGAGAATTAAAGTACCATTTTCTCTTAAGCGCAAAAGCGTATGAATGCATAGATGCATCATTCTTCATGTCAAACTTAACTTTCAAAATCTCACATTTCAACTTTTTATTGTTATATACTGTTTTATGTTAAATAATCGACAAGTTTGTACATAATGGTTTGTAACGCACGGATAATTGTCTAAATCAGTGAAACAAATCTTCGGCCGATTATCGCGCGACGGCTCAGTTTTCGTTACCGTTATACAAAATCGCGCTGCATCACGGCGCGTGCTGCGTTCTCAATTGAGGTAACGTTTTCCGATGCGACATGAGCTTCTAACGCAACAGCAAGTTGCGTCTTTATTAAAAATCCAGTTCGAAAGTTTTTACAGTAGAACAGATGCGACTGAATCATATACCGGAAATTATACACCCGGAAATTACAGTGACAGCCAATTAGTTATTCGAGCGCCAATCATTTCCCACTAATAAGTGTATATATTGTTGTATATAAAAATAATATTTTTATCAACTGTGAGATATAAATATTATTTTTATATATGATATAAACGTGGATCTTATTGTAGATAAAGTTTATTGCAATTAAACACACGTGTCATATGTTATTATTACTATAAGTACTGTCAACTGAGTCTTTAATTCTTTCTGAAGATAATAAAATTTTATTTGAAAATAAAGATTATTTACAGTTCTTTGTTTCAAAATATTAATTAGTTTACAATTGCGTCTAACTTTAGCAAAAAAAAGTATTGATGAATTTCACGATAAGTTATTTGACATTTCAAAGAGAATGTCTCGAACTCCGCCAGAAAACGATATTACGGCAAATGTCAACGAGCAATCAAACGCAGCAGTTATTTACCGGCTTATGCACGGCGGCGTGGAACCAACGCTTCTGAGGCTACACGTGCTGCTGTGACTGTTCTGTTTGGTATAAGTCGGCCGATGTCGGTTAGGCGGTTCCACCGCGATTCGTTCGGCGATGCGGAATCGCGGTGTCGTCGGTTTGTGATAAATCATGCTTTCTGCACGTTTCGCACTCGTCAAAAATTCACGCGATTTCACGCCTTCATCACGTCACGTCACGTCACGAGATCGCTCTCTTTGTGCGAACAAAACGCGTTTTTTGACGAGTAAAACTCAAAAAGCAAATTTCTCACGCATGTGAAGCGTATCTCACTTGACTCGAAAAACAACTCCAACATGCAGTAAAGCGAGCTTGGCGCCGATCGTTTGACCGCTCAAGAAGCCGCGGAATTCGCGCTCGTTTTATTTCGTCGTCAACCGAGATTGGCATGCGGTCGCGGAACAGAAGCGATGTGTTGCGTCGCAGTTGCGACTGCGGGCGGTAACCGAACCGATACTGCCACCAAGAAGGCCCGACGTGGAGTATCGCGAGGGAGCAAGAACGGCAGCGGTGGCGAGACTACGATTCCGCCTGGCAGTGGCATTAGGCTCGACTGAGCTCGCCTGTCGGCTCGGACTCCGCTCGTAATAACAAAGCGTATCGCGAACCTATCAGAGGCTGCTTTGATTCGCGGCAGCTCCCCCCGGCCGTCTGCACGCGGTGCATCCGCGACGATCAGCTGTCGTCGTGTTGAATACGCGCGGCCGTGATACATCAACGCCTCGGAGCACACAACGATGTGTAGAAAGTCTCGGGAATTCTTCGGAAGCTCAAAGATAAGCAGGATAAGGGAAAAATGCGCGGGAAAACGCTCTTTATCGGAGCAAAATAGCGTGTCGATCTTGCTCTCAGTGCATTCTGATAAATAGAAAGTCAAGAGCAATTGAGAACGTTATCATTAGATAAACGAAAATAACATTGCGTGGGATGCGTTACAATTCAATGATGTTACGTATAAGCACAAATTCCGTTAAAACTATAATATTTTTTTTAATCATGCTTAGATATATCTATTGTTATATTAGTTTCTACCCACTGACGATGATTTTAAATAAAATCGAAACGTTTGAGGGATTACTTCTTTGTAAATAAATTATTTACTCGGCAAATCACCCGCAGCCATCCACAGTTCAGTAACGCCGTCATACTTATCTCATTTTTTGGATTAAAAATGATATTTAAAAATTAGCTTTAGAGCGGAGTAAGGCGAAGAAGAAAAATGTCTTACTAACCTTGTAAAAAATTATCACCAACAATTTCGGATTAATCGTTTTTTACCTTTTATTTAGAACTGGCAGCGTAGCCGAATTAAACTTTCGAGAAAAAGAGAATTGAATGAGCGAACAATCGTTTCGGTGGAATCGCAACATCTGGCAGATGTCTCGAGAGACAGAAGCTACCGGCGCCTCACAGTTATTTCTCGTTAAAGTGATACACACGAGGAACACGCGCGAGTTATGCTCAATTTCTCAACAGCTTGCGCGTATATTGCCACACTTTCTGCCTCACACACCAGCAACGCGAACGCGAATCGCTATGAGTTTTCAAACGATATTCCGATCACTCGTCGGCAAAAGAATTCTACGTTCTGCTTTCTCAAATTGCTGCACGCAGGATTTTATATCACCAAAAGCGAAATATTTCAATCGTCATGTCGATACGTTAAATAGTTTTCTCCCGACACGTTCTCTTCCTACTTGAATTTTGTATTTTCCTCGTTATCGACAAACTTTTATAATTCAGTCTGTTTCGAAACAGCTGTGTGTGCACATTTATGCGGATATGGAATTTATAACAACGCAATTGCGTCACTTCGATAATCTGGCATATTATCTGTTATATATCTTGGAAAAAAACTTTCGGCGAACATAGATAACATCTCTGATAGTACATGAACGCGGACTATAATGACTATTTCAGATCGAAAAACTAGTTTATTATATAAATCGGCAAGTGATTATAAAATAATACCAATCGTATGTACATATATATGATTACGCATAAACATTATTGAATATTTATTATATAATTGTATTAAATGTATAATTAACTTCTTGTAATCGGCTTGCAAATTTGTTTGATGAATAAAATCAGCGATTTGAAACGTGATTTATCTTTGAGTTTTTTTCTTCTCGTCTCTATATATAGTCATAACACCTGAAGTGTTCAATGTTAATGCGGCGCTTGAATTCAAGAAAATCAGAGGGACCGTTCCACGGATTTGCTTCGGATTCCGATGATGCTTCAACAAAGCCTCGTTTGTTACCAATGACGACCGCTTGCGCGTTCTAATTACGTGATGCATCTTGCCGTATACGCGCAAGTAGGTGGCTGCGTTGCCGCAAACGATCAGTGCGTAAATCTCCGACGATTTCAAGGAAATTCGAAGTCCCATTTTTGGCATCAACGCGATTCCGTCGAGTCAAGGCAATGTCTCTCCTCGTTATGAAAATTTAACGCGTTACAATCGCGAACAATCAAAAGTAAAAGTTATATGTTCAGTCTCGCGACGTTCCCGGATACGCAGTAACGCTTGGTTGCAAGTAATAATTAATAGAAACAAAATTGCTAGAGACCGGCAAGTGTAATGTCATTCTTATATAATTTACGCGTGTGTAGATTTAAATTGTGAGTATATAAATTCAAATTGTTTTCTCTAGTCTGTTACATTAACAGAATCCAAAAATGCAATTCTCCATGTTTCTACATCCGTATTAATGTATAATCCAAAGTAATTCCAAGAATCGCTTTACATCAAAACGAATAGCAGCTACATTAATATTTGGAAAGAAGACAAATACGTATTTCAGGAACAGCTTTGTCGCTGAAAACGGAACGCGCCATCTGATAACTCTAGCAAATCGTCAAGAATAACCACGTTTGTTGAACTCGCTGAGGGATCAAGGGCTCTCGTCTATCTCATCGACCGCGAAACATCACCGTCTTTTGTCACTAACGAACCCACTCGAAGCTTCTTTGGATCAAGTTAATTTCTCGACTCATTCCTCGGAAATAAACGCGATTGCTAACCGGTCTCGTTAGCGTTCATAAAGACGTGCGTTATGACCGATGAAAATACCATTTAACTAGATGCGATGAAACGGTTGTTACTTGAAAAGCATTTCACTCCGAAAACTCTATGTTGTAAACCGAATATTTGACAAATAATATAAATTGATAGTAATTTTATTATTACACTTATGATTGTGTATTGTTTAGATTTTTAATTTATATTGTAAATATTATCTATTTATACTACAAAGTGATTGATCTTAATATAATTATTTATCGATAGGTATATAAAAACAATAGATGTAATTGTATTATTTTAATACAAATACGCAATATTATATCTTGTTTCCAAATGTTTGTATCCCGTACAATGTACGCGTGCATGCTCTCTCTTAGGTTTTAATTATTTAAAAATCCAATTATTTTTAAAATTGTTTTTAAGTAAATATGCACATGTTTCGTAAATGCAAATCAGATAATATAATGTACGAAGTTCGTACATTTTTAAACGCAGGATACACGTGAATAAAAACAATGCGATACTATAAATATGTATGGCTTGGTGATACGAGCATGAATCACCGAGGGCAAGACCAATGGCGGAACTGTATGGTCACGATTTCGCTATTTATACTATCTGAATGCATCCGGTATCCGGTTTGTGAGCACAATGTCAGTGGTAAGTGCCAATGAACCATGATCGAATTCTCTAATGATTATATACTAATTCTCTAAGTAAATTAACTTTCTCAAAAGATATCTCAATGGCTCAATTGCGAAATAACATGTCAATAAATATCTATTAAAATTATTTTCCGAATTTGAAACATGTTATATGCAATGTTAAAACAGTTACAAGTGTATTTATATTTATAGTTATGTATTTATAGTATTATAGTTGTGTAAAATTTAAAGGTTTTTGTTCCATTTTTTTATTAAAATCAACGTTTTAGATATTTTTATTGCTTTAATATGTAAGCAATTTTTAATCAACTTGTTTTTAATCTTTTATGAATATAATACTTTACTAGATATTTAAAAAAAAATTTTTTTTCTAGTTACTACGAGATATTAAATATTCAAGATTCTACACGCGTGTTTTAATTTAAGAACTAAAACAGATTACTAGCAAGTAAAACAGATTGAGGAACGAGAAATTGCTGAAAGTCAATGCCAAGCAATCAAAATAATCGGTTTTTTTTTCACAAAAGAGTACCGCTATTCTGATCAGCGCTACATTGGTGTTTAAATCTAAGCTGCTATTCTTGGCACGTTTTACCATAATAAACGCGACAAAAGCATTCCGCTATCGCCATCTGTTGGAGAATACAATGAGCTGTACGCCTCGAATGTGTTCTCGAATGTAATTATTTCATCGATACAGATAACAATATTGAATGTATATTATTAATCGGGTCGTTTTTAATGTTTAATCTCTAACTATTTCGATTTTTTCCGATAAAATATCAAAATCTAAAATTATTCAACAAATAATACTCACCCATCTCCTTGAAGTCTATTATCAGCTACTTGCACTGGTAATGGTGCTGCTAATTGCCTAACTAACTCGTCTCTCTCTCTTTCCTTTTGCTGAATAGTCTCTTGCAACCTCTGCTTTTGCTTTTGATATTCTTTAAACAAGCCACCATTATAACTTTGTTCGAGATGTTCGCCAGGAGCAACCGCCGCTCTAACTGGAACTGCGGTCGGTTCTGTAATTTTGGCCGCTACTCCCGTGGGTTTCTCCGTCAAAGAGTCTCTTCTAGAACTCCTGGCTGTCGAGGGAGCCGGTGATTCTCTTCCAGTCATTCTACGTTCTGGTGTAGACGTCACTGAAGGATCTACTTCCATACCTGAAACACAAATTAAATAAACGAGTTATTTTAAAAATAAATAAGAAACTGGTAAATTAATGGAAATTATTAAATAAATTAAAATAATTAAAATAAATATTAATGTTTTTAATAATTAAATTTTTTTAAAGAGTTTATTCTACTACTTATATGTACTAAGTAACTTTATTGTTATAATTTTTCAAAAATGATTATTGTGATATAACTTAAACTTACCGTCGGGACTCTTTGAGTGTCCTCTTGTTCTTGGCGGAGCCTTAGGTTGACTGTTTGTGGTCTCTTGTATCGAAGGTAGCTGTTGAAATTCAGCATAATTTGAGCTAAGGAAGACATCACCCTCGTTCTCGAAGAGTCTATCAACGCTAGTATTCATGAGTTTGTTGTTCTTGAAGCCGGTTAAGTGGAAGCTAGCAAAAGACGATCTAGACATAGGATTCACATCGCCAATCGACAGCGCCATGAGCGCCGCTGATGGTATAGATGTGTTCTTGGGACTTCTAGGACCAAGACCAGCTTCCAAAGCCGGCACTAAACTACGAGACATCATGTCCGCGGCGGATCTTGGTCTGGTGAACGGCATGGCGCTGTGCGGAAAGGTTTTCGGTTTGATCGGGGTAATCAACATGTGCTCTGTCCACGACGTCTCTAGAGAAGGCCTCTCCAGCCGCTCTACATCAACGTTCAGAGTTCTTTGTGCGAAAGGTACGGCGAACGTTTCGGGAGGTATACTTTGAAGCCATGAGAGCAAACTCAGGTCTGAATCACTGAAGCCTACGGATCCGTCCAGTAACCTCGAAAAGCTCATTTCCACCTATAACATGAAAACAATAAAATAAAAACTTGACACGCATCTAGAATCTTTAATATAAAAACTTTAATGCAATAAAATTAAAATTACCTGTTCACTCTCTTTCGACCCGGTAGCTTTTGCTTGGCAATAATTAACACAGGATTCATACAAGATGCCCTTGATAATAAGTTGAATGAGCCGATCGTTTTTCGCCGATGTAATCGGATGTCCAGAGTCGGAACCTTTTCTATCACCCGGTAAGAATTTCTCTACCAAAGGGTGAACCTCTCGGAAACACTGCACTCTGGCGTTGCTTGGGTTCCAGTCCTTGTACTGTAGATGATCCGTCAGTCGCGGCAGAGTAAGCAATAGGCACAGACTACTGTACTCTTCCTTGGAAGGTGCGACCTTCTCAAGATCGCTCAACACCTTGACAACCTCTTCTACAGCGTTGTCGACGCTGCCGTTCGTGCCGGCGATGACGTTTGCCTCAGACTTGATGCAGAGCAGCTCGACATACTTATGACGCAGGATCGAGTACGTAAACTTTCTCATATCGAAGTCCGAGAGCGCCTCCAGCGGTTGGATAAATTCGAGCACGTCGTCCCATTGCCCGTCTAGGATCAGCTGACGCAGGAAGAGCACGTCATCACTATACTGGCCGTTTATTACACCGGTCTCGCGTTCGAGCGAGAGCTGCGAAATGTGAAGGTCACGGCTGTGGAGGAACTCCAAGGCCAGTCGCACCACGTCCTCCTCGCGCAGCGTCAGGTGCGCCGCCGGCATCACGTACCGAATACGCAACCTACAGACAATTTTGAGAGCAAATTGCTATATTACGCCTCGATGTATTATTCAGCGCAAGAACTGCCGATCTTCAACATAATTTACGGAGAAGTTTATTACATGTAACTTTGTTATTACTATGTTATCATGTTATTAAATTATAACTTTTGTAAAAATATACATATGTACTCCTAAAAAAACAAATTATTAAAAATTGTAAGAATATGCAGATAAATATATAAATAATCTATATATCACTTTAAATTTTCTCCAGTTTTATCCAAAAAAATATTTTAATGATAACGATATTGCATAAATTTTTGCACAGAGAACTTATCTTTTGCTTTTTTTTCGTGCACATGATAAGAACAATGACGAGAACAGACGACGGAAATTTCAACGATATTTATATGCAAAGAATAACCCACACATGTGATGTAAACGATACGAGCAATTTTTTAGCGACATTTATATTCAAAGAGCAACCTACAGCGAGAGAGAAACCTAAATCAACGTCTCGGCATCCAGCTACCCACTTACGCGATAATCAGGGCACGTCTGCGGGTGCGCTGCTCCGAAGTGCAACGAACTCGAGGAAGTGCATTTTCGTGCATTCTACACGCATATACATACATTACTGGCTTTTGCAATCGCACGATTTACAACAAAAAGAAAGCTATTCAGATCAAAGTCGTTGCAGTTTTTTTTTGTGACTTCCATTAAGCAAATGCCTGATGAGACAACGCAATTCTTTCACGCATTCTTTGTAATAATGTAACCATTTGTATTGATGAATAAATAACACATTGTTCTTTCTTAAAAAAAATATTTGATGACATTTATTTGCTTTGAACTTTGTCTCCACGAAACAATAATGTGCAAACTAATGGAATTATGGAGTAAGTCACGTGATTCGAGATTCAAGACATCAGCATTCCGCAGACTATTTATGCTTAGCGATATTTGAGGAATAGCCTTAGTCTTGAGAAAACTTTTGCAAGAAGTAGTAAGATATCGCGATGTTCGTGTGTCGAGAATTAGTGAGTAAATTTTTTTTACACGTATCTAATATATTTATCTTGAAGAGAGAGTTTCATTTTCAACTACTTAATTTTTAAATTTAAAATGACTTGTGATATACTTATGTTATATATTACATTAATAAATAAAACATAAGTAAAAGTAAAGTGAACAAAAAAGGTGTTCTATTCATATTTTTGTTTGTAGTATATTTTTTATATTTCTTTTAATCTGTTTTCTATATTGCACTAATTTTAACAATAAATATACAGGTGCAATCAACTTTAGATTACATATAAATAATTTAAGAAATTTCCTCTGTAAAAACAGATAAAATTTTTAGATAGATCATTTAAGAACAATTTGAATAGAGTTTGCTCAATTATTCCAGTTGCTGGCGGTGACAATCTTGTCAACAAGCATCGTACTCGCCGATATTCTCGTCCAACCAGGTTATGAACATCAATATAACACCGATCTGCAATACCAAACATTCGGCGTACGGGATACTTCGCAACAGTTTCATAACACGTATTACGGAGAGTCTCCGTCAAACTTGCAATTAGTAAGTTATCCGCATCATTATTATCATCGTCCGTACTATCATCGCTATCAACATCCGTCAACGTATTATCATCGTACCAGCATACAACACCATCAACAGGCACCGTCGCACTATTATACAGTGGTAAATGAACTTGGTGCAATATATGATGTCGAATCACTCGACGTTAGATTGCAAAAAGTTAAAGAATTTCTCAAGTATAATATTTTTCAGACAGCACATCACCGATACAAAAGATCACCAGATTCTACAAACGCCGAATCCAATAAAACCACAATTGCCTCACGTGATGCTGTTCCCACGATCTCGACCTTAGATGATTCACTTATGACCACCATAATGCCTCCTCCTTATTTGTATCATAAACAAACGATGGATACAATTACTAGTAAGTATCTATGACTGCAGAGTTTATATGTTTTTATAAGACAATTTGACATATTGCTTAGTGGTAAATTTTTTTAATTAAATTTTATTTTCAAACACAGATAGGCGTGTGGAGAATTCTCCGAGTGAGAAAGACCATTCCTTCAGGTTAACGGGATTACTTGGACTCAATCCGAATAACATGCTCTCTCAAAACCGCCAAATCAAAAGCCAACAATTAGAAAGCGACAAAAAACAATATTCAAACATTTTTCCTCTTCTTATTAGCTCAAGCAAAAACACGTTAAGACAAAGAAAACATCATAACCAAGCAATTTCTCACACTCCTTCTGTGACTGACGGTTCATCAAAACCAACTGTAGGAACTGTGTCTACGACTAAAGTTTGTTTTAACAATACTCGACGTAAAAATAATATGACGTTCTCCTTCACCTTGCCTTCTTCTAACGGTTTGTCCTATTCTCTAATACTACCTGTAGATCCACAACAAACAACAGATAATTATGACAGCAATACGCTTGACGGAAACAACATACCCTATTATATAAATACAGGTGCATCAAGTTATTTAATTCCGAAGACGTATAAATCACTAAATTTCCGTCCCTTTCAAGGAGTTTCCGCGAATTATTATCCAGTAAGTCCGAGAAATCTTGCTCCACAAAGATACGTACCAAATTATGTGATTCCGATGACGTATACATCACCAAATGTTCCATCCGTTCAACAAATTTCCACGTACAATTACCCGGTAAGTCCAAGATGCATCGCTCCACAGACTTACTACAGTATCTATCCTTCAACTTATAATAACGTGCCATACGTTTATCAGACGTTTTCGTCCCCAGCTTATTATTAGTAAGATATTGTTATAAATATGACGCTGTGTGTGCCATCGATTTTATCGGCTGCATCACCTTGACGTAACAAGTCGATTGACCGTAATGATTTAACATGATCCATTTATTATGATTATTCTACCGTATACACACACGTAACTTTACACAGAGCGCGCGCCTCTCATCAAGTCCCTGCCCATTAATTAAGTTTTTGCACACAGTTTTTTTTAGATAAGGGATAAAAAGTTAATTTGATAAGGCAATGTATTGTACATTAATTTCTTATAAATAAACGCATTTTATAGAATAAGAAGTGTATCTTTTTTACTTTAATTTAGACATTATCCAAAAAAACAATAGAAAAATGATTAGTTTTAAATTATTAACTGTGTGAACAATATACAGATGGTAAATCTAAGACGCCTAATGTACTATACTTTTGATAGACGAGTTAATTAGCGAGAAAGTGATTTTTTTTTTATTAAGTAAATATCGCGAATAATATCTGGATCATATATCCGAAATCATGAATTTCAATCACGGAGTATAAATATAAAGAGTACTTTTACCGACAAGCCCAACTTTGATTGTACCTGGTAGGTGTGTAAAGTGATGAAACGAAAACTCAATTTTAGGCAATTTGCTGGAAGAGTTAATTGAGCCGAGCGCGCGGGGATAGAGGCGTTCTCCATCTGCAAAATGTGCGAATGCCCGTCGGAAAAGGATGACAGATACTGATCGAGCAATTTCTGATTCACCCTCGGGACACATCTCATCCTCGAAATGAAATGAAATTTCTTTCCTTCCGCGAAAAGCTTCCGGTGAAATGCGCAAATGTTTATCTTTCGTTAAAGCCGTCGGTAGAGCAAACATACGGTGTAAAACGCAAAGTAATTGCTCGGAGATTTATTCTATTTTCTCTCAAACACAGAGTTAATTGGTATTATTCAGTAACCTATCGTTGCGCAGATAATACGTTGAATAAAATGAATAATAATCTCTGGCGGAGCAGAATCGATCGATGGCGATTCGCGATGTCCATTGATCGAAACGCTTCGTTGATTTCTTCAAATAGATGTGTAATAACTGGTGGCTGCCGGTTGCAGTCAGTCGGAAACGCACGTGGTATAATGACGCAGATAACGGAGCAATAAAGTGTTTTAAAGCGCGCTTGAAGTTATGAAAAGAAACATAAAAAGCACGCACGTGTGTTTACATTGATTTAATTATATCGCTGCTGCGTAAACACATTATCGAGAATAAAACTTCATCCTTTTTGTGTGATAATTCACAGAGACCTTCTTTATTCCTTCTTTTGAGTCTTTTTGTTAGCAACAATTTGAATAACAGATTTATGGAACGTGACAGCTTTATGTTGTTGATTACGCGATATTACTATAAGACGCAGTCAAATGATCTAAAATTTGAGAGAAAATACGTTTATGTAGCAAAAGTTACGAATTGTTGGCAAATCGTTCCGCAACGTTCAGATCCATCATAATGGCTGGCGGAAATTGGCCGTTATGCTCGTAACACGCGAGTTAACTCGGGCATAATTAAGCATTAATTAAACCAGTTAACAAGAAACCGTAATTGTCTGTCAAAATATGCATAATGGCCCATTATCACTTCGATAATTGCCATTTAATATAAGCACTGATTTAGTAAGTCTTTCCTTTTCAAAATCCTCTCGAAAATTTTTGTAGTTATATAAAACATATAAATTAATTTTTGACGCGCTAATTTGTGTGTGTACAACTAGGCTGAAAAACATGGATCTTCGAATTTTTCGCAATATTTCCCATTCTTTTCATTCTTTGACAAACCAGGCAGTTTCATCGCGGCAAGGGTGGTATGTTTTATCATAAAATACGATTTCCAGTCTCGTAAAAGCAAAAAATCTCAAATATAAAAAGTGCCATCGCCGAGTGAATTTCAAAAGAAATGCTCGTAAGTTACAACGCATCGAGCTTGTCGCCGAGTGCATTTTGCCGCCCCCAACTTTAACTTTACCATCTCCTTGTCTCTTTGCTATTCTCTTTCCGCGTTTCTCGTGTCGTTCGCAATTCCGACATTCACACACCTACGTTCCTTTGCGACTTTATATGCGCAAGGATCGTTCGTTAAATTATACCACAACCCTTGAAGCAATATAACGGCGCGTCCTTTTGCCGGAATAGAATTAATCGACCATGCAAACGAGAGACGAGTATCACTTTCGTGGGTCATCGCTTTACTTTTTCACATTCATCGATTTCCCTTTAAATGAATAATAAAAAATTGTTTTTAATTTGAGGAAGTACGAGTGTAAAGTTCTGCGGTTTCACACTCTAACAGATTAATATTTATAAGAGTTGAATTACTACTCAGCATTTATAACACGCTTCGCATTACGCTGAAATGGCATTGATCGGAATCATGCGTGACGAAAACGTTACGGTTTATAACTCGCAACAATAATGTTGCCGAAGAGAATTTTTAAAGACATTGATTATAACTTCTTCAAAATGTTCAGTAACAAAAATAATGATATAAATGATATACAAAAAATATAAAGAAGAACACGATCAATAATAGCTTTGTCAATTATATTGTAAAAATATTAAATAATACTAAAATATAATCCAACAATCAAATGTGTAAGAATACCTGTTTTTTTAATAAATGTTTTTAAAAAATATAAAAAATATCTAGTTCATTTATTGTTTTATTTCCTGCATATCTATTATATGTCGAAACTTTGGATTTTTGCCTTTCTTAGATATTATATTACATTACTAATTATTACTAAGTAATTATTTATATTTTTTTAACTTTAATGTCTTAAGAAATTCTTTTATTTTTTAGCGTAAAGAGAAGAATGACCTATATTGCGCAAACAGCTCTTCTCACGGGAAATGCGTAACGGAAGAAGGTAAGCATGAATCTATCGCAAAGAGAGAGAGAAAAGGAGAAAGAGATTTTGTACATTGCCCGAGGGAAAAAGCTGGTGAATATTGTCGCGTGGTGCCTATCTTCGTGGGTAAATCAAGCGTCGAATACCGGTCCCGACTTACGGGGTCAAAGCTGACCCGCTGAATACCTCTATTACGGGAAGGTTAATGGTTCCTTTACGCAGTATCTATCCTCACGTAGAGAAGGTCCCTCTCTGGGAATCTTGCTTCCAGGCAATGAAAAAAGAAACAGGAAGCTCGCTTCCACGAAGACTTTCTCTTATCACTTGCAGCGTGAGTTCAACGTACTGGTTCGTCAAATTCAGCACGTTACGTTTTGATTTGTTGTAAAATGTTTCATTAGAGAGATTTCATTAAACAAAATCATCAAGTTTTCCGCTAAATTAACTCAACATCAAATTCCCCGCCAAATTAAATTTCTCAACGCTAAATGTGCCACTGATTTACGAGGTAAACGTGTTAATACTGTATGAAAGTTTTGTTAAAATAAACTTTGCTCTACTAAGTGTTTCTGATACATTCGCGGAATTTACATTTTGGCTGTAACATTTTCGTATTTTTGGCAAATATAATCATATAATGAACTTAATATAAAGACCTTTTCCTTCATATAAAAACCTTTAAATAATTGTCTATAATCAGTGTAAAAGCATCATTATTAATGTTGTTCTGTCACATAAAAAAATATAGACTTCACTATATTCATCCAGACTTTACTATACATAGATATATTTCACGATGACTCAACGATGCACCTAGTACACTTACATATATACGTAACAAAATTGCCGATAATGCTCCTCTGATTATAGGTAATAACTGGTGACGTTTGTCACTATATGTCTACATAAATTTGTTTTCAACCATTAAAAAGGCCGCACAATGCAACAAAAAAGATACAATAATAGAGAAAAAATGTTCAAGCAACCGACTATCGTGTATTATAGTTCAGACTGCATTATGATGTAGTGAAACTGATCTATGTGTATGAATATTTATGTTTAGTTAAATTTCATTGAGAGTTTTGTAATATCTACACATGTGTAATATAAAAGTTGACGAATTAAACATGATCATAAAGACTAATAAATAAGAAACACAAATGGCTATTAAGTTTATCGATAAAAATATTTTGTTATACAAAACGAAAGATAATAGTAAATTACGCGTGAATCACTGACACCAAAAATATTTATCTTTGGATAGAAAAATTGCAACAATAGAGAATGCGAGGAAAGAAATGATAAAAGAAACAATATAAAGTAGTTTAATGTTTCAAGATATTCTATGTATCATGCATAATAACATTATAACATTTATAGAGAAACGATTTATATAATAATTATATCGTTTACATCTATTATTAGAAAAAGTAAAAAAAATAATATAAAAATTAATTACTTTTTTGAGGTCGCGCGTTTATACGTCGTGGACATTCACACGAGAATAAATAAAAAACTCCGTGTAATGCACATCACACACACATATACACGGTACTGATGATACGGACGTTTAAGGACGAATATAGGGCGCAATTAACAAAGCACGTGGTAGAGAAACGTTCAAGTGACGTCGCGCGACGCACTGACTCTCGTCGCCGGGCGTCGCGATGTCGCTGCGACGGCGCCGACGTACTATACACGAACGAGCGCAACGCGCACCGTAATCGCGTCGCACGTGCAAAAGTCACCGCGTACGAAAATCGATCTTGTGGGAGTCTCGGGTAAGTAACCCCATATGGTCGAGGCGTGAAGGAATATGACGTCACTGGTGAATATCCGAATGCAATATCCGTTAAATGAAAGATAAATCATCAGAGTGTAATGTGCATAAGGTCAAAGCATCAGAAGAAAGTAACGGATCTCTATCTAATACTCGAATGAAAATGCGGAATTTTAATTCAGCAATCTCGTTATATTGTCGTGTGATTTAAACGCTGCCACAAAATTTAATATTTCCGCTAATAAGTCCGCCAACATTACCGGTTATTTTCCTAATTAAATCATCTCGAGAAGAGTACGAAGAACTGAAAAAAATGATACGCGTGTTCTCTTTACGATAACCGTTTTAATTGAGTCTCCAATTAGATACAATTACATCAGAAGATAAACCGGTCGCGATAAGAAATCATCGAATATTGAATACATCTGTAACCGGCGACCAATATTCCGTCAATTTCACATATATACACTTGTGTATATTAAGCGTTGTGGCAATAACGCAAGAAATTTTACCGAACGACTTCTCGATAAACTTTAAAGCTTCAACGTCTTTGCGATGCCGATAGCAAAGACAGTCCCACGAGTAACCTTTTCGTGACCTTCACCTACGCGACCAGAATACCTGCGGCCAGGTCGACTTCCGCGTCGAAGAAACATATCGTCGTAAGTACTTGCAAGTAAGTATACGTTCGCCAGAGGCCGGCATTCATCTACAAGCAGTTTTTGCGGAATCGCGACGAGAAACGGTGGACGAAGCCGAATAACGGCGAATCTGCGAGGATCCGACAAAATTCCGCGAGCGTATCTCGGATTTAACTCGCAAAAATTGCAAACTTATATATGTGCACTTGTAGCGTCAGCTGCAATTATAACAGCAAATTAATATGGCTAATTATCGAAAGCGATGTAAAGATATAATTGAATGCATCGTTCACTTTGTACGATGCCTTCCTCGAAATGAGGAACGTATTGCATACGTAATTATTTGTGATGAAATTAATTTTACTACATTAGCGTGTACCGTTTTGTAATGAAAGCCGATTTCTACGAGAAATAATTGTAAATTAACACGTGTAGTTTTTGGCCATACGCTTATCTTATATTAATCAGAAATGTAGGCCGTGTCAAAATTTTTCAGAGACATTCTGTATATAAATAATTCAAGTAAACATTTTCGGTTTCTTAATGTCTGTTTACGGTGAAGACCTTAAGCTGCCGAGATTAAATTGGGGTTAAACGTTCTTAAATGCGTTTACTCGCCCTGGCGAGTGTCGAGAGAGAGGAATATAAGAATGGGACTTGACGAAGTCGGCGCAGCGCGACGTGTTCTGGAGCAATGTTCGTTCCGGGCTGCGTACTCCCTTTAATTGAGCGTGCACTAATCCCCCTTTCCTTCGTCATGCGGAGGGGTCCAGGGGGACTGCGCGGCTTGGCGGTTCCCTACATACAGTCGCGCCTTAATTGACCGTGCGTCCGAGAGCCGGACGATTCTTTTCCCATCTTCTTCGCCGTTCCATTCTCGCCACCTCGGCATTAAGTTGCGCTCACGTATACACGTAATAAATTGAAGTCATGTACTTTAGGAAACCGTATTGCAGACAGTCTTAGGGCGGAAGAGCGACCGTGAAGAATGTGATTAAGTCCCGCGTAATTCAGTGTGACTTTCAGTTAAAATGCCAGTTTCCCTTGGTTTTTGTCGTATTATACCTTTCTTGCCGCGAATGTTACATCAAAGGTTAATCGTCCTAATGGACCTCAGCCTGGATTATGGATGTTAAGATTTATAATTAATGAATAGTTGAATGCAATGGATTACCTTTTTAAAAAGTTGTTTCATTTAGAGCAATCACGCAGAGAAAGAATAGAGACACGGTTTGCAAGTTCAAGGCGTCTTATAAGATACGTGTGCTATTTTTAAAACAAACGCAATCGATATACATTTATTCTTGAGGTTTTGCATTTAATACATAAATCAAAAAATTTTAACACCTCACACAAAATTAGCGGAAAAGCTTAAAAAGTGAAGAAATCGAATATTCTTTTAATAATCCACTATGCAATTAACCGCGACTTTTCAAAAGCTGATTCAGATATCATCATTCCCAACGTAATTTATTTTATTTACAACGATGACACGATAAAAGTCTGTAATCAGCGCAAATATTGTCAGAACGACATTTTATGTATCGCAATCCAGAAACAGACGCGTTTATCAGTGACTCATCATCGCTAGTTTTCATCTTGAATTTCTTATAAGCCGCAAGGTCAATATGAGTCGACTTGTTGAGTAATTTGCGGTTTACTCGGTTTTTTTTCAACAAGAAAAACCTGATATTACAGAACAGAAAAGATACTCACCACAACGCGAGAATTATTTTTTGCAAAACAGAATTTATGTAAGATATAATATCAAAAGAATTTTATAAATTAAAAAGAATTTTAATATCAAAAAAATACTAAAAAATATAAGTTAAGTATGATTTAAAATAGACATACATGTTGTACAAATATAGATCACTCATTCATTTTTTATCTATTGAAACTTGTATCAACTGCTATCGTCATCTTGATCATTGATTTCTTCTATGTTCTCTCTCTCAATTATCAGCGCACTTTACACCGAGCATCAGAGAAAATCATCAAACAAGGTCAAGTTCGTGATGATGTTCGGCCACGTGAGTCGTCGCGATTGGAAGCAAATATACTTTCGATCTGCCGGTGTGTGTTTTGGCGTGAACGACACGCGTATCGTCATGGACCATTCATTTCTAATCAAGAGAAGCGAAACGATCCGAGAGAATTTCACCGACCCACAAAAAAGTTACAGACTCTCTGATGTCGTACGAATTTTTTTCTTCTACTAATACTCTTTTTCTCTCGGTTTTTTTACGATAAAGAGAAAAGATTTCTTGGAGTGTGCGCGATGAATCGAAATTGATCGTTCGCATTTGGTCATCGCGATATGCTGTCTGACGCAAAAGAATGGTCGATCTGAAACCGTTCGAAAAATGGGATGGGATCCTGTATTATCACGGAACTTGACGTGAGGCCATTTGGAGCAATTTGCGTTCGGTCAACGCGTATCGCGGAACTTGAATGCGTAACGGATCCGAATTTACTACTACCGTTGTCTATTCTGACCGAATTCACATAACGCCTTAAAAGCTAATCATTTCTCAATTATAAAAATAGCTTTATCTTATTACTATAATAATGTTGCTATAATAGCAGCGTATAATTTTTAATCGTATTAAATGTTACATCTATTAAAATTAACGTACAATAATTTCTAGAAATGTAAATAAAGAAAAGTTTAAACATGAAAAAAGTTCTTCGTACCTTCCTAGCGTATCTTTCGAAAAATCTTCAATCGAAGAGATCGCCGATGATGTCGCGACGACCATGGTAAGGCTCGTATCCCATATCTTGTAATTAAAAGACTTTTACAGGCAACGCGTATTTGTCGGTTGGCACGAGCCACAAACAACCAACGAACAAGAATTGACGATTCACTCGACGATATCGCATAACACAGCAACTCGTACATACAGCACGTAGTCACGTAGCTGAACACGCGATAAATTGTTTTCTGAATTCAGATTGCATGCTGCGTTTTGCGAGTTAACGACCTTGGTCGGGAAATCAACCGGCGATGTTATCAATCCATTCTCTGTCTTCAATTAAATCAGTTCTGATGAGCGCGGCACAACAGAATCGCAAATATACTTGATGCACGCGTTTCACTTTTAAACCGAGTCAATGTGTCCAAAATATTATTTAATCACCAAATCACAGTAATCACAGTATTATAAAGAAGATATCTCGTACTTGATATTTTTCGATGTTTTCAGAACGTATATTTCGTGAGGAAGAAAGCGGTCGGCACATCTGCGGTTATGGTTTCGGCGAGTAGCGGACTGCAAGTGCACGCGAGATATCGTCAGAGAACCAACCGGTGCATCGTCCGTAATGTTGAAGAGAAGAGGAAGAAGATACGACTGAAGGTGTCCGCGCTGTGTTTCGAGGCACATTCACCTTACCAGGCTCCACGCACCTGTGTACACGCGTAAGCGAGTCTGTCTCTGTGTATGTGTTGTCCCGATTGGTCGGTATATGCATGAAGAAGATATACATACATCGAATCCGTGTGTACGATCGATACAAACCGCTACTCGCGATTTACCCTCACGTGAGCGAAAGACGAGTTTCTCTGTCGTGATCCAGAAGCATTGGGCTTCCACAACCTTGATCTTGATGATCTCTCTACGTCACGAAACGTCGTTCCGTCTGGTACAGTTATAGCACACAGCTGAGAGCGTCGATTAGAAACTGTTCAGCTATTAAAGCCGAAATCAATAAAGGGAAAAAATAGAATCTTTGTTCTTAGCCATTAAAGTGAAAAATTAGTCGATCTCGAGTATAAGCTCACGTGTATAAAGCTAAGTTCAAAACTCTAATCGTAATTTTATTGCGACAGGTCTTATCCTGTATACATCCAGAAAATAAATATATATTGTTAAAAAATTTGAAAATACAACATTTAGAAAGAAATATTTTGAGGCAAATTTGTCTCTTAAATACACAAAACGATAATACGAAATATACATCACTACTGCGTTTAACTCACATAAGTACATTACGTTACATTTAGTCTACGATGATAAGATCTCTACGAACGCGGAAGAACAGAAGGATACAAACTAACACGTTAGTGTCACGGAAAGTCATAGATAAGAAACGAAGACTCAAAGTGTGTTTCATTTCATATGTCAAGAAGCAATTAAGTGAAGAGGCCTTCTGTTAGAAACTAGTCGGCAACTACAAGATCGCTATTAAAAGGTCGGGAAACCTTTGTTCTCGCTCATCCGTAAGAGAGAAATCGGTTGAGAAGAAGAATTACTTATGATAGTACCCGCGAAAAACGAAACAAACAAAAACAGATGCAAGTTTGTCTAATTTCTTAGTCAGTCTGTAATTACTTAAGTCCAATTATAATGCCGTTAATCGCGTTAATGAGAACGCTCTTTGACGGAACTTAACGCATTTAGAATACACTGTACGCACACCATAGTCACACTCTGAATACGATGAAACGCGACATGTAAATATCACAAGTTGCTCTTGCATGATCATAAGAAAACTCGTTTGAAAAGAATTTGCTGCAAAAACATTCCATTGCAAATTGCATAAATCTATCGAAGTCGCAAGACGTTTTACTCTTAGTAAGTTACTAAAATTAGATTATTGCATTAATAATATTTAATAATAACAATGCAAAAGACAATATGTGGAAACTGTGGCTTCCAAATATGCCTCATAAAATTCAAATCTTTTATGATGGTAACAATAAAACTTTTTGATATGTGCATTAGAAAGAGAGAGAAAGAGAAACAAAGAAAGAAAGAAAACAAGAGAGAGAGAGAATGTCTTTCAAATCATGTAAAGTTTTCGCACATTACACACTTTCATAAACTTTCTTTTTTTACAAATGTAATGATTTATATCGCTCTTCCGCAGCTCTCAGTAGCTAATTTTTCAATTGATTAATTACTTTCAGTCAACCGGATCTTCGAGAAAAAAGAAACGTGCGCGAAACTGCTTTACTGAGTGTATTTACCTAATTAATGCATCTCGTGTATCCACTGATGCGACACGTTTTCAACATGTTTTCAACTTTCTACAATAATAGCGACCGAAAGAGAAAAAAACCCGAAATGAGGAGAAAATGTAAAATTTACAGATGTTTACGCGCTTTCGAATACATGCCCGCGCGTATACACAATTCAAATAAATAATTCGCATATGATACAAGATCGTTAATTATTGCGTCGATATTGAATTGGAGATGAGAACTCTGTTGCTAATTTACAATGGCATGAGGACATTTCAATGGAACAAACATGCGAACATGAAGGCTGACCTCGTTAATGTGTGTCATATGTGCAATAATCATATTAACACTTTAGCACTTTGTGTGCTATCGAATAAATTTTGGTTGCAACGAATATCTATTGAGAGAGAGAGAGAGTAAAAATATAACGGTAAGTTTACGAAATAATCTTATCGTTAAAACTGGTTCCTGAAATATTCCGACCAAGTTACGATTTAAGAGACGGTTCATATGGTGTTACAATAACCTTCGATATATACGCGCAATACCGCTAAACAAATAAAGCTCGTAGTTCTTTCATTACGTTTATGTAAATGTAGAACAGTTCATCCAGCACATAATTCAGACCATTGACATCGCGCTCATGCACTTTCTTGAAGTACATAAGTTACTTGCCTCGAAAGCAAACGGCAAATGCTCCCAGCTAGCACGGCCGAGAGATAGGTGCATTGTGTGTGCACCTAACTCTCTTCGTTGAGATAAACGACAGGCGCGTGCTCGACGGCACGACGCGTGCTACGCACGTGTCGGAAACCAGTTTCACGTAAAATGCGAAGAGATTCTCAGAGGGACGAAAGCGTATCGTTACCATAAATTTTGGGAAACTAATAATCAAATAACTCGCATTTTTTATTTTACACACACAATACTTTTCTTACCTGATCCCGTATCCTCTTATTAATATACTTATATAATTTTTCTCCATTATGAATTATAAAAATAATTTATTTGTACAATTTAATTAAAGCAGTCATTATTGTTGCTTAGATAGAGTTTAATTACAATTTAATGAAGGCTTTGTTCCCTGAACATGTTAGAGAAGAATAGTACTATTCTTTTATTCTGATAGAATCGTAGTGCCGGTTTGCAAATAAAACCGAAATAAAAACATCCCACGCGTATAATCTTGATTGTGATACGCAGTCGGACCATAAGCAAAGTCGATTTAAATCTCGAGACTGCGCCCAAGCAATTTACCGTTCGCTACTCAGGATGTAAAAACTACCAGTGTATAAAACTTTTACGAAACGTCGCGATTCTTTTTCGATAAAAAAATACTATGAGATTATTAATATTAAACATCTGTTTGTTTCTCTCGCGTATAAATATGCCGGTTATTCGGTAACAAACACAGTAATAGAAATATGTAAAAATGTCTTGTTCGACAAAATAAACTGTTAGCTTAACGTACATCACACTTCAGAATGTGTGTAATCATTCATAACAATCTCAGATAACGAAGAATTGCAAGGATTAGAGAGGAATAGATAGACGTATTATCCACTGGGATCATAACTAAACCAACGTCGCGAGCAAATGACAGCAACTGACAGCTGCACGCTTGGCACAATATGTCGAAGCGTAACGAAGCAAATGTTATGAATGAACTAGCACAATGTCACGGACAGAAATCGAGGATGAAAGACGACTAGGTAGAGACGACGTCGTGCGCAGTTCTGTCTCTGAATTGACAAAACGCTCTTGGAAGTGAGGTTAAGTACCGTCATGAAAACACGACGCGTGAAGTGATCGCCACGCGTGAACGATTTGAAGTTCACGCTGTTCTCGCGATCTGCCACGGATGATTTTCTGAAAATTACAAGAAAAAGATCCTTCCTTCTTGTAATTTATCTTTACGCGAGAGATGCGAATTTTCTCGGACAAGTCATAACTGACAAGTCGCGCGAGCGACGTCAAACGCGTGTAATTTCGCTCAATTGAATCGGCGCCCGGCCTGTCGACAATTGGCTCCAATTCATGGTAAAAATAAACACGGTGCTCAGTTGACAGCGAGTGTGCCACAGCGGGTGGCATAAACGCGCGTAGGAGCTGGCTTACGTCTCTTTCATGGGCAGACCTGTCTTACGCACGATTGTCGCGCGCGAAAAACTCATATCTGTCGCCGGCGTCGTGTGACGCACGGCTACGCGCGCATATCATGTCTCGGGAATTATGTAACTATTGTTGCACGACGCGTAAATAAAGGCTACTTACCGCTGATCGAGGCGAAAAACGTCAGGATCGCGCGCGCACACACACACGTTTCACAGAGACTGCTTGCGCCGTACTGCCGCGCGGTGGCGTCTGCGCGCCGCCGCCATCTTGGATCAATCGGCGCGAGCACGGCTTCAGCCGGGAACACACGAAAAAATTTAAATAGAGTATTTTCAGTAAAATTTGAGCATTAAGGAAATCAGCCAATCACAAATGAATATGTGAAGAGATATAAGTTATATTTAATAAGTGACATAGTATTTACATAGTACGAAACAAAACCAAGCAAGTCACAGATATAATATTTTATCCTTTAGATTCGTGAAATTCATGTCTAGTGTCTACCGCTTTTACTTTTGCCTAGTACGAGCTTTTGAATTACGTGCGCCGCCGCGCGCGATTTGATGCTTCGAGAATCGCAATATCGCGCGCTTCGATACATTCGTTTCGGCAGACAAACGTAGACGCGCGACGCGGAACACGGAGCTTCTTGTTTAAATTATCAGGTATTTCTTATTGTTGCTTGCACACAAATATCGATGTCGACTACGCGGGACGACGCGAGGACTACACTGGGCTACTTGGGTAGGAGAACATTGCAGAGGAAGATATATCGATGGACGACGAAGGGACCGCACAAATATAAGTCAAAAGTTTTTACAACTTTCTTTTAGCTATATATATTATAGTTTTTACTTTACAATCATCAAATTAAATTATATTTTTGGTAGACCTAAATTTAGTGTTTTTACGTGTTTAAACTCAGTATATTTTTTTAAATTTTAGTAGTTTTATTGCTAAATCTATATAAAAAGAATTTGTGTAATTTATACATATACTCTCACAACTTATATACTCACAATATAGCTAAAAGAAATAAATATTTATATTGCATACGTAGTGTTCGCATATATCAATCGCACTGATTTCCGATTATACAAATAAAAATAATCGTTCATCATAGCATGATTTTCTTTATTCTATCTTTATATGTTTGTAATGGTGAGATATACGTTGTCATTTTTATATTTGATTGTGCTCATTTATTAAGTATACTTACTGAATTTCTATGTGCTTCTCTTAATCTTTATAATAATATCGGCATTCGGTTTTTTAATCGTTTTATTTTAAGCAGTAAACAAATAGTACGTTCATTCATGAAATAAAACAACACATTTGATTCTTTGCTATATTTAATTCTTACATATTTAGAATATAAATAATAACAACTGATGTATATATAACACATTTTGGATACAACATTGGTAAGAGACAAAAAGCGAGATTGTTCAGAGTTACGTTGTGTTGATTACAATAAATAAATAGAGTGTAAATTGGAACGTATCGGCAAAACCATACGCAACGTGTCACATTTGACTCTCACGAGCTTATACAGAACATAAATAATAACAATTAGCATAATGCAATACCATTCGTGCGCAAAATTTATATAACATTGTGTTACGAAACAACAAAGCTGTTGTTCAGACAAATAACTTATGCGGCAGCAGATATTACGCGCACATAGACAGTATAAAGAATAATATTACAGCATCCACTTTATCAGATGGAAAAGTACAAAAACAAATAGAAACGTAAAATGTAGCCTTTAAATGACTGATATGGCTGCGTCCAGAAAATACAAAGTTGTACAACTTGTTCAGTGAGCAAACAGTAATCACTGATTACTTTTAATTTTCTAAATGATTTTATTAATGTTGTTTAGATGTAATTGTTAATATCTATACATAAAAATAATAATTTTCTTTCAAAGTTTTTCATTTAAAAACTTTTAATTTTAAAATAAAAATGTATTGAGTTTTAGAGATTCTTTATAAAGAAATTGTGCAGAAATTCTGTAAAATAAAATAAAATTGAAAATGTTTTTATTAATATGAATAATTCAATTATATTTATAATTGTGCAATAAATTATACATGTCTTTTGGCAGTAATATAGATGTGACATTAAATTAATTAATGTTGTTTGTACTAAATGAATGAGAAAACAAATTGAACATGTTCAGTAAACATTTATCACTTCATCACTTGCATTTGGCGAAATTTACTTAACTGTAGTGCAACAATTGTTTTCTGAATGCAGCTGAAGTCATAGAGATGCATATAATCTAATAAGTATCTCTTCACGCATTTCTCTTATTTTAAGTGATATCTTAGATAATTTAGTATCCTCAGTGTATTCTCAGATAATATTATCTTCGCACATAATAACGTATGCATTACTTATTGATATACATACATATTTAATAGTCAAAGTTTTTTTAATAATATAGAGAATTATGTCATTTGACGTCAAAAATGTTTACGATTATATATTACGAATATCGTTAACTATATGTCCAACGCAAACTTGCGTTGAAAACTTGTGATTCAAGTTCGATACGTGAGCGTGCGCACACTCCTTTTTCTATATCGTCGGCATCTAATTTCTAAATTTACCGATAAAAAACATTTTATCCATTAACAAGTATATCTTCACCATAGGTTGAAGCTATGCTCATTTATTCTCTCCTATAAATTGTGTCAATTCCAATCTCGCAAAAATCACAAGTCAGCTGGAAGCTTAGAACGTGTGCGCGTTGCGGCAAATACCGCAACCTAGAGCAAATTCTTCTCCTGTTGGCGGATGTTTCACGTGTAATGGACACTCGTCTCCTTCTAATTGCTTGGCCTTTGGACCTTTAATAAGATTTTGATTAGTGAGAGATTAATTTAAAACGATGTCACGTGTCGCAACCGAAAAAAAAACATACCAGCCGGACACATAGGCAGCTCATTCTTTGGAATGGTGGTAACACGCTGAAAGTCGTCGTGACAGGGTTTGCAGAAGTGCGTGGTTCCGAAGCAGAAGAAGACCGCCACCGAACAGCAATATCGGCATTTATACTCGAGAAAGTCTGCCCCGTGCTTCGGACACATCTGAGCCCTTGCCACGTCGCTACAGCCACCGCACACCAGTTCAGCAGGATCAAACGATTCTCCGCCTAATTGTGCATCGCAACGCGCCTCACCACCGTAGTAAGCCTTCTGGCATTTGTAGCACACGTAGTACGCGTATCGTTCCATTGCATAGGCGGCGGGATCTTGATAACGGCCACCGGATGTAAAAGCTCCTTCGGCTCTATAATAAAATAAGCGTTGCAGACATTTGAATTAAATTCTTTCTTACATTATACATTTGTCAACTATTTGAAAGTATTATATTACTTGTGCAAGCCTTCGTATTCCAAGCGCATTAAAGCTTTTCTTCGCACGTCCTCGTAGAGTTCCTTCACGCTCGCCAATTGTTCCGACAACATCGGATGATCCATCGGGACTTTACAGATCGGACACAAAGAGAAACCGAAGGTAATCCGTGGTCCTACCCAACGTTTCATCAGAACATGCCGGCAGCAGTGCAAGTGGAACACGTGGCCGCACTGCAACTGAATCGCTGGTGCGCAAGACAGAGCCTCGGTGAAACAAATCATGCACATATCATCGGCATCCTGCTTCAAATCAGTCCCCGGTAAACAACGATGAAGACAAGGCAAGCAAGTTCTCTCGTTCCTAACACCCCCGCAAATGTGGCCGCAAGAGTGAACTTTATTACAAGCATTTTTCGCATGTTCCTGGCAATCGTGATCGGCACAAATGTTGCCTATCGCTAGTAAGCCCGTATTTCCGGTGGTACCGCAAAATCGACAAATACCAGTAGTGACACCAAGTGGTTTTCTAGGCGACCCATCGCGAAATTCTACTAGCGCTTTCAATGTTCTACTGTCCGCCAGCGCCAAAACCCAGAAAAGCTTTGTTCTCCCGCAACCTTCATGAAGATCCACTCGTATCGCTTCTTCCTCTTCTTTACATACTTGTCTAAGATGCGTTCTAGTCCTTCTATGAAGATGCAAAATTCTATCGCATTCCGCACACAGATTACCGCAAACGTTGCATTGGATTATAGCCGTAGTCTCGTCATCGTCGTGATTACTGCACGTTGGCTAAATAAACGAGAACATCCAAATCAGTTGAATGCATTGTACACTGTACATCAAATTTAGAAATAATCGTACTCTCGGTGGTAGCTGTTGTCCTTCGGAACCGCTCCATTCCCCAGATGACAATCTTTCGACATGATCCGAATCCAAAACGCACAAAGAAGCAAGTGCCAACCACAATGTCGGACATCGAAGACATTCCGTAGGTTCGCGACTCTTCTCGTCCAGCCTAGTTAAATTTAAGATATTTTCGGCTATAGCCGCTTTCGTAACAGATGCCCATTCGTCCGATAATTTGCCCTGATATATAATAAATGCATCGTTAAGGATATCATTACAAAAATAAAAGAAATTAATTAAATCTTTATACTTACCGATGCCATATCCTTTAACAAAAGAATGATCACCTCTGCTAGTTTACGCGTCATGCAACCTCTCAACCACCATCTCGTGCCAACATAATTTTTTGGATGTATGCTAGTAGCTAAAGAAACAGTCTGAAGCGCTTTGCCATTATTTTCTTTTCCTTTCACTTTAACTTGCACCGTCAATGCTTTCGCGATACAACTTAGAAATACATCGAGAATTCCGGCTGCATGTTCATTGAAGTTCGAAACGTGAGCGATAGCGCTATTTGCCACAGATACTATGCTGAAATCGGTAGGCGGCAAACGTTCGACATTTATAACGCTTGCTAATGTCTCGGGCTTAATTTCGGGTAATATCCGTCTTAGAAGAGATGTCACCTAAAAACATAATATTTCATTGAAATATGCTTTATTCTTATACAATTTTGTGACGGTATTATAACATACTTGACGTTGAACTCTAGCCGAGCCAGTATGCAACAAACTTAGCAAATCTTTTAACAATCCAGTCTGATGTGATAAATAATATTGCCCCACAGAGCTACCGCTTAGAGCAAGAACCATAGAAAGCATTTCGAAGCAATAAGTATCGGCTGCTTTTGGGAGATCGCTGTTGTCGCTTAATACACTATTGGCAGGTGTCGGTGAACATAAAAGCAGTTCCCATTCTTCCCTCAAACGTATAGTTTCCTTTCTGATCGCTTGCACGATATGAGTGCAAACTTGTTTCTGCAAGTGTGTTAAGTTGCTTCTGCTGAATAATATCCCGACCATATGTTCTCGGAGATCATTGCTATCTTCTAATTCCTCATTAGCACCTTCCGTTAATTCCATTTGCTTTTCTCTTTGTATAAGTTTTCCAAATACCTATAGTGCACAATAATGAGAAAATTCCATATTCGAAAAGCAAATAACTAGAAATGAAGCTTATATACCTGAGATGTAATTAGACGAAACACTTTCAAAGTTTCTGCTTCGCAATTTCTCTGCTGAATTGTCTGTGCACTTAATTGCTTTCCAACTTTTAGAGATTCTCCTTCAATCTCGCCTAGTATCCTGATTTGACGAACTCTTAAAGAATTGTCCGGACCTTTTAATTCCATGCCCACAACTACATGACGTTGATCTGTAAAAAAAACATATATATATACATATTAAAGGTTTTACTTAAATACTTTGTTTTTCAGTATAAAAATACTGATTTTAATATTTACCAGTGATTGGGCAATTAATCCATCCAGCAGATCTACTTTCGATCTCTACAGATCTAAGTTTTATCATTTCGTCAGCGTTAATACCGGATAGAAAAGTCACACTGGATACTTTGTGCTAAACATTTTTGATTAAACAATTATTGATACAAGCAGCTTTACAAAAAATTTAATTAGATGTTTTACAAAAATAACTTACTGTTAAATCGCGACAATTATCGATATGTACGTAAACGATTCTTGGCAAAGAATGAGCACCACAAACTATAGTAATCATTTTAGTTTTGTTGCGATCTTCATCTCCAGATTCCCAAAACGTTTCTGTTGAATTGTCCGTTAGACTACCAATCATAGCTTGTCTGCTAGAGGCTTTAATCTCAACGTTGGATGTTAAATCTTTCAGAGCTTCCACCAAGCTATTTATTTGTTGCGAAACTGTAGACTGATGGCTTTCATGCATACTCATTGTTATATCTTCTTCCTCTTCGGATCGTGAGAGAATTTTACTTATATTACTAAATACATGACTTCTATGGAGAAACATATGGTCTGCTGGAGTAAATCGAATACCCCAGCATCGAATCGCAGCTTGTTGTAACGGAGATCCTGTGAAAAATTTGTATTATCATAACATTCGTAATGTAAACCTAAATATTTATTTCACTTTTGCTGCAAGTTACTTACCAAGTGGCGGCAATAACATCAAATCAGCAATTGTTTGCAATAAAGTGTGAAATACAGTAGGTAATGGATTAACGGATTCTCCGGCTATTACTAAATCACTTAAAGGATGTTCGCTGATACCAATCATATCCTGAAAAAATTACATAAACATTATTCGCGAATTATAGTTTATTTATATTGACAATAACAAATTTTCATGTTAGAAATATCATTTACATGATCTTCTTTCTTTTCTGTTCTATTGTCTTCGTTTGCTTCCGTACTATCAGAAGAAGTAACCGGTGTAAGAGACGAGACAAACCACCAAAGCAAGTCGTGCAAACAAATTGGCTGAGTTACGCTTCTTAAAAGCCAATTTAACGCTTGCATCGCATAAACTCGACAAGCGGCACGGCGTAATGCCTGTTTCATCGCGAGTTGTAGATGTTGCAAGTTGTGTTGTTGAAGAACAAACAACATCACGGGTCTCATAAGTATCTCGATTCGATCGTTATTTGTTACTTCGGCTTGACTCGTAGATACTATCGCGGATTGATCCATTGATGGTACTAATTTCTGCAGTGCAGCAGATGGATAACACAAAAGCGACGAACCTGCTTCTAAAAACATAGAAGAACACATTAGTCATTATTACACTTTCTATTCTAGAAACATTGTTGCTAATATACATATTTAATTTGTAAATATTTAAAATAACAAAAATCACACCGTTAGTCATTTCGCTACTGCTATTATTCCGTCTTCTCATCATAACAACTCTGCCGTCATTACTGTTTCTTGCCCAAGGTGCACCAGTAGACATAGACACTGATCTATGAAACATACTACGATTCTTGCTACTTTCGTTATCACTGTCACTTATTGGATACTCTGACAACGGCTGCAAAAAAAAACAATAATAATGACAACAACTACTATTAAATGTAAAAAAAAAAGAAAAAAATCTTCTTACTCTGCCATTTGCATTGATAAATGTGCTGTTGTTTCCTTCATAATTACTTTGTTCTCCATTCTCACGTCTCAGAGTTTCTTCATAATATCTTTCATCGTGACTCTGTGAGTGATGAACACCTAAAGCTTGTAAACACTGAAACGGCCCAGTTGGCGGAAATGGTCCGCTGGCCTCTGGGGGACTATAATTTTCAGCTACAGACGACAAAGTCTGTGACGGTCGTCTCTGCTGTTTGGGAATATTAAAGCCAGACGCGCTCGCCAGATCTAGCAGAAACATTGCATTATTCTTCATAATGATATGCGTTTCGTTCCCACTAGGACTGTTAATCGGAGATAATATTTTGCCGGTGCCGTTTTTTCTTTTAGATATCCCAGTGACGAATTTCTTCGTAAATTTGTTCTTTCTAGCCTTCAGATATTTATCTCTGCATGTGTCACAAATTAAGTACCACGAACTACCACCGACACCGCCGTCTCCGCAGTTGCCTGCCCATCCCACACAATAGTTTCCACCGCTGTTGTATCCTTTTCCACCAGCGTGCCAACCGCAACCTGGATGCATCATTTTCATGTGATAAGTGACCGGATGCGGAAACATCAAACCGCAAAGTTCACAGACAGTTTCACGTTCAATTAAAATTTCAGACGTATTTGCTCTTCCAATAGGTTTCCATTCCTTCTTCTTTCGGCTACCTTTCTTCTCGCGTTCTTTCAACTTATCCTCTCTGGGACGTTTTTCCGGTATCGGTCGTTTAGCCAGTTTCATTGTTTGTATCTCTGATATAGGACTAGGTAAAATTGACTGTTGCTCAATGGCTTGCAAACAATTAGTGCTGAGTTCCTCCCATAAAAAAACCAGACTCTTCAACGCAGGCGGTAGCACCGCAACCGTGTGAAATTCAGGTAGAGAACTGAGCTTACCCGAATTTGTCTGAATTTCTTCCTTAATCACATTTTCTTGTTTCTTCCTATTTCTATTGGCATTAGCATTAGCAGCTGAACGCGTGAGAGTCTCCAATGTACTGGGCTGAATATGCAAGTAATTACCAGCGTTTGTCACCTCGACGGAATGCCTTTGTCGTGCTTTTTGCTCTTGTTGCTGTTTATCGCTGGATTGTACGACAGTTTGTCTAGTTACAACCAGCGCGCCTTGTTTCGGTAGACTCGGATGAAACTTGAGAAAACTCGCGCAAGCCATGGCATCGTGCACAATTCCTTCATGCCACAGAAAAGCTGCGAAAACAGCTCTCAAACATTCTGCCACAGAAGGACTGATCGCTTCTTTCACTTTGTCTTTACTTAAATTTAGAGTACGACTAGGATTAGGACTCTGTTGTGCGTTGGCAGGTGACATAGCGCGCTTCGCTCTCGTCTTTACAGCTTTTATATGATCTCTTCTGCTCATCTTCGGTGAATATCGCTCATCTTTCACTCCAGATGAGCCAATGCTGAAGTGACCTTTCATAGCCGTAGTGGCGCTTTCGGGACTCGTTTGTGTTTGCGCTTGTGACATTTTGCGCGGACTTTCTTGGGAATCCTTTAAAACATTACGAAATTTGTTGCAATGTATTCTTTTATAAACACTATCACATCGTAAGTCTTTCACTTATATTCTTTATAAAAAAAGTACAAGAAAAAGTAAAAAAAAACTTGTACGCTAAATTACTTACAGCACTTTCCTTCTTGGGCGTATCGGGCGGACTAGCTATACTGCCCTCGGATCTCATGTGCAAAGAACTACAACTTGGACTTGGTGATAGATCACGCGTATTGGCAGTAGTACTAATACCGCTCGGAGACTGAGATGGATCTCTCGTCAAACTGCTAACCAAGGCACTCGTGTCGCTCTGTGTCGAGCCGCGACGTTGCGACGTTATACTGTCAACCATTCCTCCTGACACTTCAGGAAAGAGAAAATAACAATATATTACACAGTCAAACTTCACAAAGCGCGAAAAAGATACATTTGAATTCATTGCTGTGACAACAAAAAGAGTTTGTCTCACCTTACTGACAATATACGCATGGACAGAAATATATAGAGCTAAGCATAGCATTCGCTTATATAACTCATTCAAAAAGTTTAAATCGTGCAAAATTACGTCGTGCGACTATTGTAAATTAAATGTGTCTAAAAAAACGCTTATTTAGCGTACTTTTATTCTAATTTATTTATTTTATTCTAGTATTTGAAAGTGTATAATTAAATACATTGCAATGTAGACTTTTGTGACTGAATGCTTGTAGTATAACAAGATCGCGATATAGTATAAATTATAAGAGATAAAGTGTATATTAGCGTGTATTTTAATTATCTTACCTAAAGGGGAGAGGCCGACACTTCGGGGGGAGCCGCAGAGTACCGGGCTGCTACTCATACTCTCTCCCCCTCCTATCGCGCTTCTCCCACCTAATAATTTTGATTTAGTTGTAGCAATTACATGTTGTGTTAAATATGTTTAATAGCGAAGTTTTACTATGTTTTCGATTTCCGAATAAAAAAGTTTATTGCGGTCTCTCTATATGGTGTAATTGATCATGCAATACATTAAAAAAAAAACAAAACAATGTGCCATTCCGATTACAACTACGCTAACTTGCATGCATAAAACAACGTTGTATTCACTGATTAATACGAAGTGAATTCTACCGTGCCATCAATCCTATATATAAAGTAAAAAATGGTGATTATTAAAACAGATCTTTCGAAGAGATACAGATTCTGTGTGCATTCTGATATTCACTATTTTACAATTCAGTAGGACAGGAGCGAGTACCTGGTGCGTTAGCAGCAGGAGGGAAGAGACAATTGCCAGAAACGGCTGGCTGTCGACTGGACCCAGCTAAGATCAACATGACTAATTTGTTATAACTAGTTCAGACAATGTATACAGAGTATTATAATATGAGATCATCTAACATTTGTCTATCATCTATGTTATGTATTTCACGAGATAATGTTAACTGTATCGAACGTTACGTTTTTATACATTCTAATACGCGACATAATAGTATGTATAAAAAGAAAAGGAAAAATATATACAAAATGTTGTACAGTCTTACAAGTATCAGCGTCCGTTCTGACAGCTTCTGAAATAGTTTTTATTCTCAAAAGCAATTGTAGTGCCAAATTTATCACACATAAATATAAGAGAGAAAAAATATATACTGTTAAAAAACAGGGAGTTATACAAAACAAAAAATCTCTGTTATGTATGTAAAAGAAAGGAAGTGTCGCATATACATACCAGGTATTGGAACTGGGCTAGAAGACGGGCTGTGAAATCTTGGTGACCCACCTTGGGGATTCTTCGGCGATGAGCTTCTTGACATTCGCCGTGGGGTTTCCGGCGGTGTCGCCCCGTTGCCATTTGCGCGACTTTCCCCCATTGCTTTTACCAATTCTTTTACCGATACGCCCACAAATTCAGAGAAGTCTCTGAAAATATTAATATTGCATTCCGGATGGATATAAGTACTTACACGTTAATATGGGACTCTAAAAATGTTAAATTGCAACTTTCGATAACTTGGAAACTTGCGAGAAGTTTATATGTGCAAATACATATCCGTACCTGCCCGGAGAACTTTTTTTCTCTCCGTGACATTTATCATCTCCTCTCAGCCACTTTTGCAGCACGCTAAACTTCCCTCCGCCGCCTTCTCTCTCGCGCTCTTTAGCTACTCTCTCCTTCGAGTGGGGTTTCGAAAACTTTGGAGTTCCGTCGGCCTTTTCTGGTGTAAAGCGTTCGCTTCCTGAAAACATTGAAACATTTTGATGCAATCAATTACTTGAATATACTTTTATGATCGTATACCTGGCGAGTCGTGCTGATTATACGAGCCGAAAATGAAAGGATTTGTGTTGCAACACTCAACAGACTCGGCCGTATCCGGCGTATAGTTTTGTGTGGTAAAGTTGAAGCCTTCGTGGCTTACGGAAGGAACAGAAAAGTCAAAACCTTTATTGCTTGGCGAGACGTTCGGGTCTGGAATCAATGCCTTTTTCTCGATCGGATCGTTCTCTAAGTCTTGCTCTAGTTTCATGTAAATCACGCCAGTTTGCTTGTTGATCGCGAGCGACCATGCTTCTATTCCTTTACACTTATCGAAGCAATATTTCGTCACGGAGTCGTCATCGATGCGCACCCAAGTTCCTTCCTGATTTACACACTATAACAAAGTTATTGAATATCGAGTTATTAAATATCACGAGTACACAAAAATATAGAAATTTTGTGGTGTAGATCAACTTACATATTCCTGAACAGTGACGATATTTCCAAGTGCTAGCATTCCAATTGGCGCGCCTTTCAAGCTCGGTTTACTTCTAATATTGTGTCCGGAAGCGCCGCATTTCACGACTATCATGCTTCTTCCGCCGTCGAAGGTTACCGTCTTTCTCTTGCTGCAAGTGACCGCGCTAAATTATGTAACAATCAAAAACTGTCAATAGAAAAAATTTTCTCACATACTCGTCGCTAGCATCGGGTCGTTTTCGCAGAATAGTCTCCTTGATAACTTGATCTAAAATCGATTTTGGTTCTTCCACCGGCAGAAGCAAAGTTTTTCCTAGATGTTGATTGTACTGCAAACACCATGCTTCTAAATGACTACTGTTACAGTATTCCTTGATTGTCTCCGCATTTAGTCGCAGCCAGACACCGTCATCATTATGAATCTGCTCAAAAAGAGTGCAATTTGATATTTGATGCTTTTGGTTTGTTATAAGAATTTCTGAAGATGGTTTTTGATGGTTTGATATTATCAGGCTGCTCTTGAACTCTGATGGAGTAAACTGAAATCCACGAAACATTGTATAAAACTGACACTAACGCGGTTTGAACCCGAAAAACCATTTTCAGAAATAATATATTTTAGAGAGAATACAATTTCTCATATTCATTTAAATCGTATTTTCCACAACTTCGAAAGTCTGAAGCTCGAGAGAAAATAATTTGAGAAAATAATTTATTAAAATAATTTAATTAAATATTACGAAGAAAATAATAGAAGAAATAAATTTCCCGACACACGTTGCTTTATTACATTAATACATTCTATAGTGAACTCATATCGAAATAAATTTAATTAAAAATCAAAACTTAAACCCCTCCAGACATTACCTCATCAATGAAAGCTATAGTGCCGTTAACCGAGACAAATCCGATTTGTTCGCTTTGCAGCGACGGATGAGCGCGTATTCTCAAGCCAGCGCTATTCTTTGCCACGAATTTTCTGAGTCTGCTCGGCTGAAGCTGCGGCTTCTTGACAATGTTTTGAGTAGGCGGTTGCATACCCTCCTTTACCTCGACTTTGTAATTCTAAATGAAATGGAATTGATTTAACCTACTTCAAACATACTTTCAACAGCAGGAAGAAACAATGAATTTTATTGAATTTAAAGTAACTCTGAAAAATTCCACACAAGTGGTCTATACACACATCCTCCATATTATAGCCGTCCACTGTGATCATCAGTGAATACCAGCCAACCGAAGATGGTGTCCATGTAGCGCTGTAACTACCATCGCCGTTAGGTCTGACCAGCATACTCTCGCTCGATCTCTTTACTGTAGGCGACACGAATCTCAGTTCCTCGAACGAATAATTCTGATAGGCCTTCATGATGGTGATGGCGTAAAAGCACATCTTGTTGTTGATGGTCACTTCGTACGGAACGTCCAAGGACGGTTGTGGATGACCGCCGAACGTCATTGGATCCGGTTGAGAGACACGACGAATCTTTCTGCTTTGATCGGACTCTGTGATATCTGTTTTGTCAATCGGCACCGCTTTGACTTCGATCTGCAAGATAAACATGTATCTTATAACTCGGACATCAGTACGTTGTGTCTCTCGAAGGAAGAAAAAAAACTTCGTACTTTCAATCCGGCCACGTGTACGACTTCGCCGTATTGATCTCTCGTGAGGACGGTGACGATGGCTGGCCATCCGCATCTCATTTCTTCTCGGGAATAAAGCGCCTCGCATTGAGTGGGATCGACGAAGCTGTCGGGTTGTAGCCATCGCGCGAGTCTGCCGCCGCTGGTGCCAGCAGAGCAAGAGACAAAATCGCGCAGGAATAGACGTTCGTTTGAGTGACAACTGTAAATAGCAACGATGGAAATTTTGAAAAGATCGAAACTGGAAAGATTAATAAAGCTAATGCACTGTGTTACAAGATTTCTCGCTAATTTTGCAGATCGTTATATTTATTTTTATACAGCTACGAAAGAAAGTTCAAATATTCCTAATGCAATTCAGAATTTACTGCATATTATAAGCAGATTTTTTACTTCGGCTGCTTCGCAAAAGTTCAGAAAAAAATTTATAAGTTTTTTATGACAGTATACGCGCAGAAGTTGCGCATTAAATTAATCGTATATCCTGATTAATAAAGCATATAAAATGTAAAACTGTGCGGGAATAGAGAGTAAGTAGATAATTTCTGCTGAAACTTTTGATCTTTTGTAATCACGTTTGGAGAGAAAGAGCCGGGAATATAAGATCATCGCGCGATGAAATATATCGGAACATAAACGTCACGGAAGTTTGTTGCCGCGGAGAAGCGATCCTTTATTACGAGATCTCGAGTCGTAAGTTTGTTATGGACTACAGGTAGCGAGACACACGCTTCATTAAAACGAGCTTGTGAGTCGCGATGTCCCTAATTGGTTAGTGCTTCGTGCTCGATCTCGTCTGGATCGCGAATAGAGGACGATGCTCCTCTGCCAGTCAGACAATCGTCGCTTCCCCCGTTCAGGCTCGCCGGACTCAACCCTAATAAGGCGCAATCACACCGCAGTTCTGTTCCTCAGGGCTCGTCAACGCAATCCGCGCGCTCCTCTGCTTTCTATATATATATATATATATATATATATACACAATATATACGCACCAGTGTACAGAGTTCAGCTTCACGTTTTTAAATCACGAGAACCGGTATTCTGGGAAAAGCATGAGAGGTCTTGCAAGAGTTCGCACGTATCGATTATTACGGTATTCCCGCAGGAGAAATCAGAAGTTGATTAAACTCAATGACGACACAGACCGTGATAATATCTTTGATATTTTTATTAAATCTGTGTAAAATATGTCGTACGCGCGATAAATAAGAAACTTGATTTTAAGTGATAAATATATTATTTTTTTAATAAAACATGACACGTTTGTTAATTATAAATTAATGTGGAAAATTTCTGCATTCTCTAGATCAGATCAAATCAACTCCGATGATACTCCAAGTCACGACAGGTCTATGTTCGGGAGGAGGGAGCTTCGATCAAGGTTCGCGGTATCGCGCGCGTATCAAGCCGTATAACGAATGTAATTTTCGCGAGTCAGGAATAAGCGGCGCGCACAGTGCGCTCCTCGCCATCGATCATAGTCACGACGAAAAAGATGAACGAGCAGCACGCCAAAGATAATGGACGTCAGGACGGGGACCGGTGCATAATACCCGCGAAATCGCGTCACCCAGGATCGGCAAAACGGAGGATATCGTGAGGCTTTAAAGATCGGTATCCGCGTGACGTACAGCCTTTACGTGACCATTTCGGAAATGGGCACTTCGCGAGAGAAGCCGATGTCGAGACACTTGCCGGTTTGAGAAGCGCGTTATGAATGAATGGACGACACGTTTCACATGCACGCGCCGGAAGGTGCCGCAAAGGGAAAACGCGCGCAATTTCTCATGGGAAATTAAATGGCAGGTTTCTGCTCATAAAGCGAAGAGACGGTATAACGCGCTTTAGGGAAACGCTATCTGATGCTATGAAAAGAGCGACGTTGACGAGCACGAAGCGGCGCTCTCTTCAGACCGGGCCGTTTTTACGCTACTATGCGCTCTGTGTCGCGCATTTCCGTTTCCGGCGCAATACATCGGAGACGTAGCTCTCGTTACTTTTTGTCGCGCCGTGGCTTTCTTCATTGTCACTGCAAGAACACGTATAGTCGCATAAATTACCGGTCGCTTGCGACTTGCGGAAAACTTGCTCGAGCAATAAACTTCTGCACGTATATTTCTCTTTCAATTATTTATTTTATTGCGTGCTGTCTTTATATCTTATTACGATTAAATCGAGTTCCAATCTTGTGGCCCTTTTTAATTTACTAGCATATCACAGACGCGCGCTACGCGCACGCTATTATTTTTATTTTAACATATTCCGTCAGTAGACACAACATGTCACCGCGATGACAGCTAGTACACGTACGACAGTGGCTGTTTTGCTTTTAGGAGACACAGTCGACACAAAAGTCATTCTGTCTTCGTTAAGTATTCAGTGAGAAACAAAGACAGAATGACTCTTGTGTCGACTTGTGTCGACTGTGTCTCCTAAAAAAAAAGCAGCCAGTATGACATAAATCGAGAAACACATTATCCGAGAAACATCACCGAGACGTCCAATCACCGTCGCGGAAAAGAAGCAATCAAGATCGATAGAATCGATTCTGATTATTTGCACACGCTTTTTCTGGTAGGACTAGCACAACACAGGCGCGCGCTACGCGCACGCTGTTGTTATTTTTATTTAACGTGTTGTCAGTAAACACAACCTGTCACCGCGATGACAGATAGTATATACGTCTTATAAACCATATAATACACATATGAGAAATGTCAGAAATAACGCATAAAAATCAAACTCAAAAAATAGTG